CCCGTCTATCACCAACATAGGCCAATCAGCTAACCAGTACTTTTCGCCCCTTCCCAAAATTACTTCAACGGAAGGTTTCCAGATGGATATGCGGAGCAAATCCATCTGGCGGAGTCAGGTTAGCGTTCACATCCACGGCCAGCAAACTTCCTAGCAGACATGACACTGAATCTACTACCTTCTTTCTTTCTTTTTCTTTATTCTTCTTTTGGCGTTCAGGCGGTAAACAGCAGCTAGGTAAATACTGCGAACAAAGTCATCTTTCTATGCAGGCCAGGCGATTCCAGGAGCATCGCTTCCCCCCTCAGGACACTGGCTTGTGACATTTCCTGGGCATTATGCTGCCGCGCGTTATGCATAAGTTAGGCTGTCGTTGGACATAAGTTCTGGACTCATTATGAATACTCTAAGTATATGCAAAAACTTAAAAAAATACATAGAAAGCTCAACGTATGCAGCGTTTTAGGAGATTCAGACCGCTGCCATGCCCAACAGCTGGGGAGTTTGAAGGGCTGTCTAGGTCCTTTAACCTTACGTTTATAGCTGTGCTAGGATGGTTTTCCAACCAGACTATGATCCTAAGCCTGTCGTAGCTGGTTTTAGAATGGAGGAATCTGATTAACATTAAGCCTTTGAAATGGTACCAACTCTATCCTACTTAGTAATGAAGATTTTTTTTTTATCTCCTGTTTTTTAGATAAAAACAGAAATAGTTTGAGTTCTCAGTTCTTATTTCAAATGTGAACCTCCTCAGGAGTCGGAGGGTCAAGGTTGCCCGTTTTGCCGCTGTGAGATCAAAGGCACGGAGCCCATCGTGGTGGACCCCTTCCACCCTAAGGCCAGCGGGGCTTCTTTCGCTGGTTTCCAGGGCTCCAGCAGAGCAGAGGCGGCAGGAAACGACGAGGAAGAGGACGATCGGCTGGAGGATCAGCAGCTCGTTATGAGCGGGCTGGCCTTCAGTAAGGTAGGATTTACATACGCTTTGGTTTGACTTCCTGCCGTCATGCAGCATGTCTGAACCTTTTGCATGTTTACAGGTGGAGCGTCCAGCGTCTCCTGTTTCTCAGCTGCCTCCGGTGCCTCCACGCCTGGACCTGCTGCAGCAGAGGGCCTCTGGATCCCACACCGCTCTGAGTCAGGGGGCAACAGCCAAGGTGGGTCGTTTCTAATGACATACCACTAGAAGAAAGGGGAAACTGTGTACGTGTCAAATTAAAATGAGGGAAACCCTGGTGAAGTTCACCTTTGTCCTGCTGACATGTAGCTGTATCACAACAGGGAAGTAGAAAATAAAACAGAGGGGCTTTAATTTGACTGATGAATCTGATAAATCCCTCATAAACACGGGTATTTGTCAACTTGCTCATCCATCTCTCTCTTCCGATCTAACGCATCATTTTAATTTCCCTTTGGGATTAATAAAGTGATCAACGATTCAATTTGATTCAAAAACAAAGATTTTTGTCTTTGTGCTCTTAGAAGCCTCTTATTTCTAATTATGTTAGACACCTTAAAATAAATCATACTTTACGGCAGTAACAAAATCCACCCTTAGTGTAGATATAGAGAGATAACAGGTTTAAGAAGATATCCTAAAGAGGACTTGGAACCAATGAGCAACAGTCCAGTCCAATTATTTATATTTTTTATTTAACCAGGAAGGACATTTCTGACATTCTGTCAGGAGTTCATCCAGGTTCAAAACGTAAGAAATAAAACCATTAAAGCCCATCCTGGGCTGTCGACTCCAGCTAAATTTCATTAGCT